TGATCACCATTACAATCTCAAGGCAGCCCCGGGGCTAACTGCCGCCCCGCGAGTCACGTGTGAGTGGTAAAATGTCCCCTTTGGCTGGTGCATTCTCTTGAGCATGGCCCGAGAAGTTGCCAGGCCTCTTTCCCTCGTGGCTTGCTCGTGGCTTGCTCGCTGGGAGGGGAGATTCTTTTTAAACCGCAGGCCTGAGCAACACCCCTGGAGCCCTCCCTGGGAGGAGAGGAAGCAGTTCAAAGTAACAAGTCAATTTCACAGATGGGAGCCAAGACAAAAGAGGCAGAGTCTTCTCACCCTAGGCACCACCTGAGCTCAGCTTCCTCTGGCAATTTTATCTCGTCATGTTTGGTCCGGCCTCGTTTAAACATTTCAGATCGCTGAAGCCCAGAGAATGTCCACAAGAGGTTTCCATTTGCCACAGAATCGATAGTGCAAATTTTGTTCCAAACAAATCTGCCAAGTACAACCCTAAACTTTTCCAAACGAGAGGTTATTTCTTTTCCCAACACAGCGCCTGCTCTGCTGGGCATCCTCTGTGGTCCAGAAGACCAGTCTTTCCATGCCTGCTGGCCTCCTGGGGCCACGAGGAACACACCTGGGCTGGGGTGAGGCAGCAGCAGCCGTAGGGCCCTGCCCCAGCTACTTAGCCCCCACCAGAGCCTCAGTATCCTCATCTGTAACTTGGGGCTAATGAAACCTGCGTTTTCTGCTTTTAATGAGGCGTTGCACAGGGAAAATTGCGTGGTAGGACTCTTCTACATCCTCCTCACTAAAAATTCCCCATTTCCTCCTGGTTCCTGGTACTGTTTCTATTTTTTCTTTCTCTTTTTCTCCCTCTCTCTCTTTTTTTTTTAAAGCCCTAGATTATGATTTAATTTTTCTTATGGTTACAGAATAATTTGAATATTAGGTTTTGGAACTAAGTTTCTTATGGTCCAATCTATGTGTACAATCATTCAATCAACATTTATTATCCAATCAACTCATGTTTACTGATCCAACACTTTTTACCTAATGTCGCTATGTGCTATGTTCTTTTGTTTTTGTTTTTTTATTTTTTTGAGATAGAGTCTCGCTTTGTCACCCAGGCTGGAGTGAAGTGGTGCGATCTCGGCTCACTGCAACCTCTACCTCCTGGGTTCAAGCGGTTCTCCTGCCTCAGCCACCCAAGTAGCTGGAATTACAGGCATCTGCCGCCATGCCCGGCTAAATTTTGTATTTTTAGTACAGAAGGATTTCATCATGTTGGCCAGGATGGTCTTGAACTTGTGACCTCAAGTGATCTGCCCTCCTCGGCCTCCCAAAGTGCTGGGATCACAGGGGTGAGCCTCCACGCCTGGCCTGCTATGTTCTATTTTGTGCAGGATGCTGTTTTAGTGGGGTCCTGATAGGAAAGAGCATTTTCAGATTGAGTAATTTGATGAATAAAGAGGAAGACAGAAGTGCAGGGAACAAGGAAGGCCTAAGAGATAAAGTCATAACCACCCCCAACACAGACAGACCCCCAGGGCTGAGTGAGGGGGAGCTCTTACTGAACTCAGAGGTAGAAAGAGCTGCCAGGAGAGCTAATGGCAGGGGCTGTGTAGCAGATACTGCGAGGGCCTGCCCACAGCCCTGACTTTGACCATTTCAGCACACCAGCCTGACTTTCAGCCGCCAGGACTTGCATTTCTTTGCCTCAGGGCTTTCTCTAGCAGCAGAGCTGGCTTTGCTCACCAACAGAGCAGGCCAAATGTGCTGGGAATGAATACCGCTACAGGAACAAGACTCAGCCAGTGACCGGTGGGCACTGGAACATAAATACCCCAGCTCCCTCACCCTGGAACATAAATACCCCAGCTCCCTCACCCTGGAACATAAATACCCCAGTTCCCTCACCCTGGAATATAAATACCCCAGTTCCCTCACCCTGGAACATAAATACCCCAGCTCCCTCATCCTTGGGGTTTGATAACTTTGAAGTGCGGGTTCTAGACTGCATCCCAAAGTTGTGCAGCAGGGTTAAGCTCTGGTGCCCACAGTGGTAACTACTTGACCCAATGAGTCCCTGATTGGCTTCTCCCCTTCTCTGTTTCACCCTCCCACTCGCTTCCTGGCATTTCCTTGGATCATTTCCCAAATAAACTACTTGCTTGAATTTTTGAAACTCAGGCTGTGCTTCTGGGAAAACCTTTGGGTGGCCTTTTGCAGAGGGACACCCAGTGCCCATGGGGACTCACCCTTGGCAGACCCAGCTGGAAGTGGGAGGGTGTGGAAGCCCACTGTTGAACTTGGACAAGCCAACCCTGGAGGACAGAGAGCAGCGTGAGGGATCTGGAGGGGCACAGGATGGAGTTCCAGTCTCCTCTTGGAACTCACCACCATCCGGCGGGGAAGACAGATCATGTAAAAGTATTACCACTGCAACAAGGCAGCCTGCGTACCATGACAGGGACGTGCAGGGCCCTACAGAGCTCTCAGGACCCCCCACTCTCCCCATTCAAGGCATGAAGGGACTTTCCCCAGAAGATGTGTGTAAGTTGAGACCTGAGGATGGGAGTGCAGGGGAAGCAGCCACAGAGTGTTCTAGGCAGAATGAGCTGCTTGTGCAGATCTTTCAAGACAAAAGAACATGACTCAGGCTGGGCGCAGTGGCTCACGCCTGTAATCCCAATGCTTTGGGAGGCCGAGGCAGGCGGATCACCTGAGATCAGGAGTTCGAGACCAGCCTGGCCAACATGGTAAAACCTTGTGTCTACTAAAAGCATGGCGCTGCCCAGGGAGGTGCCACATTTGAGAAGTGGTAAGAGGAGGGAAGCTGGCCAAGACGGCCGAGAGGGGCAGCCGTGGAACCACGGAGGCTGCCATCAGGGAAGCCAGGGAAACAGGACGGCCAACAGGGCCAGTGCCCCAGAAGGTCAAGGAGATAAGGAAAAGGTCTGTCGGGTTTAGTGTCAAGCCAGAGCAGTGACTGTGGATGCCGGGGAAAAAGCAGGGTTTGGCTTGAGGGGTGAGGTGAGAATAAGGAGACTCCAAGTGTGGACAACCCCTTCCTCGATCCGGGCGGAAGGAGAGAGTCGAGTGGCCGCAAGGGGTCTGAAAGGAGGGGATGAAACATCCCACCAGCCACAGGTGACAGAATTCAAACCCCTTGCCCTGTGGACAGCGGACCATCCTCCTTGTTAACACACAACGCTCAGCACACCCAGTGGTTTCCTATGTCCTGCTAGGAGGGACCACAAGGGACTCCAGAGCCTCCAAGCTGGAGGGGCGGCCTGGGTGGCACTGAGGCCAAAGGAGGAAGCTCTTCCCCCTGGCTCTGACTCTGATCATGGCCCCCCTGCCCTGGGCTCTGACATTAGGTACCATTTGAAAAAACTCCTGCTATTGAAAAACATTTGAAGGCCGGGCGTGGTGGCTCACATCTGTAATCCCAGCGCTTTGGGAGGCTGAGTTGGGAGGATCACCTGAGGTCAGGAGTTTGAGAACAGCCTGGCCAACATGGTGAAACCCTGTCTCAACTAAAAATACAAAAATTAGCCGGTTGTGGTGGTGGGTGCCTGTAATCCCAGCTACTTAGTAGGCTGAGGCAGGAGAATCACTTGAACCCGGGAGGCGGAAGTTGCAGTGCGCCAAGATCGTCCCACTACACTCCAGCCTGGGCGACGCAGCGAGACTCTGTCTCAAAAACAAAAACAAAAAACAAAAAAAAACTTTGAAAGACCATCGATCTAGTCATATTACAGATGGGTAAACTGAGGCCCAGAGACAAGGAGACATGTCTGGGGTTCTACTGAGTCTGCCCCAGAGATGGCCGGATGCAGCCTCAGGGTGCCAGCCTCGGTGATCTTTCCACAGCCCCACAGTTCCGGGGAAGGAAAGGGCCGTGGCAAGACCAAAGCCAGGGTTGCCACAGGGCTGTGGTGAGAGGCGGAGTCTGGCAGCGTGTGATGAGAGACAGAGAGACACATGTGGCACACGCCAGTGACAGGCGGCAGCAGGCGGGCAGGCTGGCGGCCGGGCTGCATCGCCAGAGCAGAGCCGCTGTCCCCAGCATCCGGCCTGCCCAGGTGCCCCACACTGGCCATCGAGTGACCTCCCTGGGCCCTGCCTCCCCTGAGGTTGGCTGGCTGCAGACCCCAGGCCCACCTCCACATGTGCTCCTTCCTTCTCCCAGCTTGCTCAGACAAGCCCATGAATAGAACATTAAAGGCAAAACCTTCGAAAAGAAACAGCAGCTCCCTGGTAGCAGTCGTCCCACTAAATGTCAAATGCAGAGCAAGCTTCTTGCCTTGTGCGCGTCTCACTAATGGAGGCATCTTAGCCTCCATATCCCCATCATCCCATCGCCCTATAAATAAATCATGGTCAGAAGAATGCCAGTTTCCCCCCTAGGGCCTCATGAATCTCTCGACATAGGCATATGTAAAGGCCCTCTTCACCATGTGCTGGCTCTGGTGCCCGGAAAGAGATAGCAAACCCTGTGAGGATGATTTTAGAGGCAGAAGCAAACTTTCCTGCCACCTCGGTGGGCTGACAGTTGGGAGCCCAGCTTCTGTCCTGACTTGGGAGAGACTCTCGCTCAATTTCCCACAGACCTACCCTGGCTGATGTGGTTGTCACCATGATGCCACCACCCTCTGGAATCAACTCAGTAAGCTGCCAAAGGCCCATTGCTGGGGGCTGCAGTGGTCTCTGTCCCCTGGCAGACAAGTCATGAGTCGTGCCCACCCACCCCCTGTGAGGGCGAGCCACACACCCACTCAGCAAGTGTTGTTCCTGACATGTAGCACACACGGCGCTGGCCCGCCCACTCCTGGGAGCCCCTGCCCCCACTGAGTGGCTCACCAGCGTGCCATGGTGCCAAACCCCGCTGGTAGACTGATGGTGTGGGTGCCAACAGAGGCTCTGGTGCACTTGGGGGGTACTGCTCTGCAACAGTGACCTCTGGTACACACTCTCCAGGGAGCCTGTTGCATGCTTGCCAGGTGTGCTTCTGTACACACACACACATACGCTGTGGTGCCAACTCTTTATTGCTGTGCCAGCACAGAGGCCTCCAGAGTGACTCTCCTGAATCAGAGAGCAGGGAATGTTTGCAGTTTCGTTTCCACGCTTCACTGACTGGTTAGACAGTGATCACAGGTTCGGAAGCACGTGCCTCACCGCGGCAGAGGAGGCCTCCACTCCGAGGCAGGATTCCACCCTCCTGCACCCTCAGATCGGCGAGACTCCCTGCTTGTTTCACCTTCTTTCTTTTCCTAAAGAATCACAGGGAGCGTTGACCTCTCTGGGACTCAACTGTGGCTGGAAGGGGACAGGAGAAGCTCTTTCTGGAGGACAGCTGAGCCCTGCAGCTGCCATCCTGCCTGGCAGGCTAGGGCTGGGCTGTGGGAAGGCCCCCCAGGAGGTAGGGAGCACTACAAGGCTAGAGGGGCAGGTATAGGTGGAGGAACCGGTGTGTTCCGGGGCTATGCTAGCAAGTCCCTCAGGTCACCCTGGAAGGGAAGCCAGGGAGAGCAAACCATGGGCAGGGCTGAGAGCCCAAGCAGAGCCCAGCCCCCAAATAAACCATGGCCCTGGGCCTTTCTCAGAGGCTTGAACGCAGGCAGGAGGGTTCCTGGCCCCACTGTCCCATCTCTGTCCCCAAGGAAGAAACCAGGGCAGGAGACAGAGGTGAGGACTGTGTCTTCCAGACACCAGGGGAGAGGGAGTAGGAGAGGGCATATGAGACAGCAGCTCAGGCCCCCGGGGTCCCAGATCCCAGCCAGAGAAGTTCCTGAGGAACCGCAGAGGGGAGTGCACGGGAACCACCAGCAAGCTCTGTGAGAAGCCAGAAATGAATCAGCAGCGCCCAGCGCCCCACAAAACAAATGTCAGAGAAATCAAGACAGATGGGCACGTGAGACAGTGGAGCACAGAGGTCCAGAGAGCAAGGGGGAGGGTGGGCTTGACAGACAGAGCGGGGGCTGCATCCTGACTCAGCAGTGTGCTGGCTGGGTGGCCCAGGGAAAGGGACTCCAGCTAGCTATGCCTCAGTTTCCTCATCTGGAATAAGCACAGACGGATCCTGCAGGGTGGTGGTGAGGTGGCATGAGATAAGGCATGGAGCACCCTCAGTGAGGCTCAGTAAACGCAAGCGGCTATTGGCAGCATGTGGACGGGGATGTGCAGGTGGGGAAGAGCAGGTTATTGCCTGCTGCCTGTTTCCAGCTAGCATCCATATCTCCTCGCAGCAGGCTTGGCTGGGTTTGTTCTGTGAAGCCCGAGGTGGCCGTGACTCATTCTAGTGATGGACACCAAGTCAGTGGGCTCCTCTCTCCAGTTCGACATCCCTGGAGGCCCCTGCTCCTGAAGCCCTAGCCTTGGAGCTGCCGGTTCCCTCAGTTCTTCTCCAGGCCTTGGGGGGGCCCTCGCCTGGGGTCCCTTCCTGACTCCTGTCTCTGTCTCACTTCTGCCCAGGGAGGTCCGGCCACTGCACCCCGAGGAGAGGGCTGCTTCCTGCACTCTGCGTGGAGGTCCTGGCTTCTGCCGTCCCTGGAGGCTCCGCTCCCGTTTCGCCAGCTATTTTGCTGCCTTGGCCATCTGTTCCCTCCCTGTCATCTCCTCTCTGCTTTAACCTTAACCACTACTTCACTGCAGATGGTACCAGGCAGTTCCGCTCTCGACATCCTTCATGACGCCTGCCCCTCCTTCTCATCTCCAGCAAGTGAACCGCTCTGTCCTTTTTCAAGCCTCATCCCAAAGACATGGTCAGAGCTTGGAGTTGGACTCGCCCCACACAACTCCCCCTCCTCGATGCCATCTGCTTTCAACTCCACCACTGGCCAGGGGCAAACACCTACCCCTTCCCCTGCCTTTTCCTCTTGAGACTTCTTCTTCTCAAACTCGGCCAAGAACCTCTCCCGGCAGGGAGCGTGTGTCTGCTCCGGGTGTCTACCTGGTCTCCCTCAACAGAGCCATGTACCCGCCCAGAGGGCTCCGGGTTGGCAAGCCGAGGCGGAGGCCAGGAACTCTGAAGCTCATTCCTACTGTGGAGGAACCAGGGCTCGTGCTGGGAGTGTGGGTCATGAACAGTTTCCCTGTTGAAAATGGACCTGAACACTCTGCAGTAAGGAATTGTTTCCGTGCTGGCATGGTGGGAACTGAACCAAAACACTTTTTCTATGTTGTCTGAGCTCACAGGAACGTCGCTCTGCTGTCCTTGCTGTTATTCTGGCTACTGGTGAGAAAATGCATGCATGGGCTTTACTTAGCAACTCGCTCTGCCTCTCCTCTCTGTCAGGGTGCTCCCCTAAAATCTCTCCTCTTGGCTTCTTTTTTTCTGGCATAAGGACCCAGAGCTTTGAGGAGAGCAGCAGCCCAGAAGCTCCTAAAGAAAGAAGCTGTTTTGGTGAGATTGCTTCCACCAGGCTACCTACCTTGATTGGGACAGAAATGGGCTGGGAAGACGGAAATCTGACTTCTGCACCTGGATTTGGGCTAAAAAGCCTCACAGCTTGATAAGGGCTCTTGTATCTCCCCTCTATACTTCCTCTGCACAGAAAAGAGTGTCTTGGCCATCCACGGAACACTCTTCTCTCTGCCTCGTCACTGGGGCTAAGGGCAGCTATATTACTAATAGCTCCAAGTCTTGGTTGCCCCCAGAGAGAAGCAGAGATGTAGCCTGCCCACGTCTGGCCACATGAAGACTCTCCAAACACCTAGAGGAGCTCTGGATTCAAGTCAAGCAACCGTCTGACGTCACCATGGTCCCTCCTTCCCTTTGCCTTCCCTTCTTTCCACAAAAGAGAAGCCCAAATCTGCCACCAGCCCAGCCCATCTGCCCATGGAGACCAACGGAACCAAATGCATCTTGCTGGGTTGCAGGCCTTAATCTAGCTCTTGCTGAATTATTCAGGGATGGCATTAACTTATAAATGAGTGTGTTTGACTGATTTTGTGGTTGATGTACAGATAAATTCTAATGAAAGACAGTTACAAGATTTTAAATTATTAATTAGACTGCCACTTAACAAAGCCTATTTGGCACTCTATTTTCTTGCTTAACAAGACAAAAACTTTAAGGAAAGGTTCTGTATTAGCCCAGAGGCTCTTGATTTGCATTCTGTTTTTATAGCTCTACACATGAAAACCATGGGGCCGACCTTAAGCAGGCCACTTCTGGCAAAGCAAACCCCCGACAGGCCGCCCTTCCTTCCTGGATGTTGCAGGGTGGCTCGGGGCCTCGCTTGCCCTCCTGCCTCTCACCTCTCAACCAGAGGCTTGCTTTTAATATCCCTGGTTTTGCCGGCTAGGCCACGAGAGGGAGAAGCAGGGAGGGCAGCTGCTGAAGCCTTCAGCTACCAGGATTGTCAGCAGCTTTCTCCCACTAGGGCTGTTCTAGTTCACAGAGGTGGGGCTGTGGCCAGTAGTCCTTTCATTAAGAGACACAAGGCAGTCCCCCCAGTCCTCCCAAAATGTCGTGCCAGGGGACAGCTTTACTAGGACAACCACCAATCAGAAAGATGATCCTCATGGCCCAAGGTCTGGTCCTGCCTTCCTCCTCCTCTGGGGCTTCATACCACTGGACTCCTCACTGCACAGGGCACCCCATTATCAAGACCATGAGCCCTGCCCTTTGCAGAAAGATAAAGGTTTTCTTCTCTTCCCTCCTCCCCACAGGATCTAGGGAAGGCTACTCTTTCTTCATCTTTCAAACCCTTTTCAGAATCATAATTAAATTATTACACTCCCTCAGGTCCAGGACCCCACATAGGGCTCTGCATATTATAGGCAAAAAAATAGCAAGATATGTCTAAACACTTCCTATATCTTTTTTTTTTTAGATGGAGTGTCGCATGTTTTCCTGGGCTGGAGTGCAGTGGCACAATCTTGGCTCACTGCAACCTCTGCCTCCCGGGTTCAAGTGATTCTCCTGCCTCAGCTTCCCAAGAAGCTGGGATAACAGACATGTGCCAGCACGACTGGCTAAGTTTTGCATTTTTTTTTTTTTTTTTTTTTTTGAGACGGAGTCTTGCTCTGTCGCCCAGGCTGGAGTGCAGTGGCGCGATCTCGGCTCACTGCAAGCTCCGCCTCCCGGGTTCACGCCATTCTCCTGCCTCAGCCTCCCGAGTAGCTGGGACTACAGGCGCCCACAACCGTGCCCGGCTAATTTTTTGTATTTTTAGTAGAGACGGGGTTTCACCGTGGTCTCCATCTCCTGACCTTGTGATCCGCCCGCCTCGGCCTCCCAAAGTACTGGGATTACAGGCGTGAGCCACTGCGCCCGGCCTAAGTTTTGCATTTTTAGTAGAAATGGGGTTTCACCATGTTGGTCAGGCTGGTCTTGAACTCCTGACCTCAAGTGATCCTCCCAACTCAGCCTCCCAAAGTGCTGGGATTACAGGTGTGAGCCACCGTGCCCAGTCTGGTTTTTTGTTTTTTTTTTTTAAATAGCGTCTGGCTTTGTCCCGCAGGCTGGAGGGCAGTAGCACAATGTCGGCCCACTGTAGCCCCTACCTCTCAGACTCAAGTGATCCTCCCACCTCAGCCTCCCAAGTAGCTGGGACTACCAGCATATGCCACTGCACCTGGATAATTTTTTAAAATTTTGTCCAGGTGCGGTGACTCACACCTGTAATCCCAGCACTTCAGGAGGCAGAAGTGGGCGGATCACTTGAGACCAGGAGTTTGAGACCAGCCTGGCCAACATGGCAAAACCCCATCTCTACTAAAAATACAAAAAATGAGTCAAGCATGGTGGCGTGCACCTGTAGTCCTAGCTACTTGGGAGGCTGAGGCAGGAGAATTGCTTGAATCTGGGAGGCAGAGGTTGCAGTTAGCTGAGATTGCACCACTGCACTCCAGCCTGGGCAAGAGAGTGAGACTCCATTTTTTTTTTTGAGACGGAGTCTCATTCTGTTGCCCAGGCTGGCCTCAAACTCCTGGTCTCAAGTGATCCTCCTACCTTGGCCTCCCAAAATGCTGGTATTATAGCCATGAGCCACCACACCTGGCCTCTTATATAATTTTTGCTTGGAGACTTTGGGAATAATTCTAGAAGCAGACACTTGAATGGCCACCTCCCTGGGCATTAGCCTCAGGCATGCTTTTGGCTTTGGGCGCCTACCTAGAATCCATACAGAGAATCTGAGTGTCCTATACAGGTGTGCAGAAGAAACAAATCCAAAGGATCAGGATCTGGGGCCAAGAGAGAAAACTGCCTGCCCAGGAAAGAACCAACACAAGTCCTCTGTCCACACAATGTCCTAGGGGCAGTCTCCAGGTCCCCAGGCTGAGCCCAGCCTAGTGAAGGGCTTCTCTTCTCTGCTTCCTTTGGGCCAATTCAGGTGGAAACCTATCGGTGGAACCTCTTCAGCCAACCAGGCTGTGCAGGAAGGAAAAAACAGCCCGAGTAGCAAACACACGTGACTGCTAAGCCTCCAGTGGCCACCTCTTGTGCAGGGTAAGGAGGCTCCCCCCGGGAGCCGCCTCCACAATGCAATGGGCTCATCCATAGCTGGGCCTCTGGCTAGCCAGGGTGGGAGAGAAAGATTCTTGGAGGCTGCTGGAGCCTCCCTGGGCACCTAAACCATATAAATAAAGTGCGTGGGCTGCTTGGTGGCTCATTTTTAACTATAAACTGCCAAAAGACAAAAGACCAAAAGGGAAATGAGATGTCAGTTCCTCTCCATTATCCCTATCACAGACCTGCAGCCCAGACATGGCGGCCTCTTTAGAGGTGCCCGGGAAGCCTTCCCGACTGGGGCAAGTTTGCATGCTCCAGGCCCAAGTTTCTCAGACCTGGGCTCGTGCTCAGCTCTGTAAAAAGCACCTTCTCTGTGCAAAGACACTTGGCCAGCACTGCTCGGTTGCTGAAAGGACTTTTTGTGCCTTTCTGCAGGGAAAAGGAGGATCTGGGGTGTGTCTGCAAAGCGGTTTCTCCAACTAGCCCCAGAGACTCTTCCACACCACAGCGGAAGACAGCCAGCGTTTCCCCCTGCACTGCACCGACCCACGTGGAGGGCACAAGTCACACACAAGTTTGTGACTCTTCCAAGACGACGGGGCAACTCAGCTTCCTCGGTCCGCCCAAGCTGCGACCACCAAACGGCCTTTACCGCCCCACCAAAGGCGTGGTTCCTCCACCCACCTGTCTGACCTGCTTATATCTGGGTCTCCGCCATCACCTCCACATCTGCTTCTCTCCGCCCATCTTAGGGCTTCGCTTCCCCCCCTCCCCCACCTCCCCTACCTCCCCCACCTCCACCCCCTCCCCGTGCGCGTTTTCTCCTTCCCCATCCTGCTGTGAGGTCAGAATCCTGTGCTTACGACACCTCGGTCTGTTGCCATGGAAACAGGGGCGGATTAAGGCTGGAGCGCGGAGCGCAGGGATCAGGCCCCTCCGCTACCTGAGCTCCCGCCTCAGCCGGCTCCCGCAGGGCCGGGGCAGCCAACCGCAGGCCCCGCGGCTTCTCAGCCTCCCGGCCGGGCCAGGCGCGGGGAGATCCTGGCGGGGCGCCACAGCCCGCTCGGACCTGGGAGGGGAGAGAGGCAGACGCAGAGGCTGGAACAGCTGGTGGCGGGGCCCGTGGGCTCCCGGCGTGATCACTTGCCCTCCCAGGGCCCGGGGGACAGCGCCCAGCGTGGCAACCACGTGGGGCCGCGGCGGGACTTCCCCGGTGCCCGCACCAACTTTGCCGCGCTCGGTACTGGGCCAGGCTGCCGGGGCGTCTAGCTAAGGTGGTCGCGAAGCCAGCTGTCCTCAAGTTGAGCTGGGCACCGGTCGCGCACACTGGCGGCACGGCCTTCGCGTCCCTCCACTCCCAGCATAAGGAAAGTTTGAGGAACTGGACATCAGGCGCTGGCTGCTCCCCACCCTCAGCAGCTGGGTGCCCAGAGCCCATCCCTGGGGATCAGAGCAGGACTGCAGAGAAGACGTCCGCGTCCGGGCCTCGTCTGGGGAGCTAGGGCGCGCGGGGAGCGCCCGGGCCGCGCGGTCACTGACCGCTGGCTGCACAGGAGCGCCGTGCGGACTCGGCCTCCACAAAGCGGCAGAAGCAAGGGCGTGTGCCCGCGCAGGGGATGGAGCCTGCAAGTGCAAAACTTTATCACAGCAAAGCAAAGGTCCCAGGAGGCCGGCTCCCCTTCCACCACCGGCCGCTCACTCTGGTCTCCGACTGACCCCTCCGGGCCTGATCTCTAGGCCTGGCCACTCGATCCATGGAGCAAACCCCGTGTCTCACAACTGGCCACCGACGGGAGCTGAGCCCCAGCAGCAGCCCCTCGGCGGGTGCGCCCGGCAAAACCCACCAGCCCGCCGGGGGCTACTTCCCGGATCGAGAGCCCCAGCGCCGGGCGGCTCCAGGTCTCACGGCTCTTTCCTGAGCGCATTCAACTTCAACTTGCCCCTGCGGCTCCAACTCACCTTTGCGAAGCATGTTGGCCACGGGGCCGCCGCTCCGAGGTCGGCCTAGGCGCACTCCCTCCCGGGGTCCAGATTCAAATCCCTGGGCGCCAGCTGCAGCTAATCCGAGCGCGTTGAGGCGGGGGCAAGCCGGGGATCCGCTCGTGCCCGGTGGCCCGGCCCCTCAGGGGCATGGTGAGCTCCAGCCCCGCGCCGAGGACACCGGCGCCCGCAAGCAACCGTGGTGCTGCCCGGCAGCCCCGCGCGCTTGCTCAGCCCCGGGGCGAGCGGCTTGCTCCGCGGAGCCGGCGGCCTGCTTCTGCCACCCGGAGCACTTTGCAGGCGGTTTTGAGGGGGGACGCCGCCCCCTGGCCGGCCGGTCGCAGCCCCCTCCTCTCCGCCCCCTCGGACCACCGCCGCCGCGGCTGCTGCAAAAGGGCGCTCGCACGCACCGCCGAGCTCCGGGGAAAGCGCCCGGCGCGCGTTTGCAGGACCGAGCGATCGGCGGAGCGGGGCGCCTCCCTTCCTCCCCCCACCCCGGCTTCCCCCTCCTCTCCTCCTCCCTCCCTCCTTTGCTCGCTAGCTCCCTCCCTCTCGCTCCGCTCCCCGCCCCCGCTCACGGAGCGCCTCCCATACAAAATTTATGAAAGTGCTCTCAGCTCGCAGTGCCGAGCGCCGTCCTATTCCCAGGGCAGCAGCGCTCAGCCGCGCGGCGCCGCCTCCCAAGGTGTTTTCACTGCACCCGCCCCCGGGAAAGATCCTCGGCCGGCGTCCGTCCAGGCACCTGCCCCAGTCCCCAAGCCGGTCCTCGGGCCACTCCACGCCCCTCCCCGGCCCCGCAGGCCTCCCGGAGCCCGAACCCGCAGCCCAGCCCCCGCCCGCTCGCCCTTCGCGGCTGGAGGTCATCGGGAGAGGCGGCTGGGACGCGAGGACCGCCCAGAGTCTGGATCGCGAGTGCGCTCCCTGCCCCGTCTCCTCCCTGGCCAGCGCCCCTTCTCCCAGTCTCGACGGCTCTTCCCCGCACTGAGCAGCTCCAGCGAACCCGGCTGCCCCGCACCCCGAGTCCCAGGACACTATTCTTTTGTGGGGAGAGGAGAGGAGCAAGCCATTCGGGAAGGGTCAGCTGCAAATTCCAGGGAGAAGGAAGGACCCGTGCGGGCTCGGGTGGGCTGTCTCCGCCTGGGTCGGGTGGGGGGGGGTCTCTGATCTCCCTTGGTCCACACAGACCCCTCCAGCGGTTCGCGGAAAATAGAGGAGACGCCCCTTGGAAAGCGGGTCCCGCAGGGGCCTGTTGGGCTGAGGGAAGAGAAGGTTCGGGCCAGGCGAGATCCTGGGTGGAGGCGGCACCCTCTGCTGGCCTGAGATCAGAGGGATTCGAAGGGAAGGAAAAGTGGATGGACCAAGGCTCTCATTCAACACACATTCACCGAAGGCTCAGCATGTGTGGGGCACTGCTGTGGCTAAAAATTCAGCAGACGAAAAAGGCTTGTCTTTGCCCTGTCCTCAAGGAGTTTCCTTTTTTTTTTTTTTTGAGATGGAGTCTGGCTCTGTCGCCAAGGCTGGAGTGCAGTGGCCGGATCTCAGCTCACTGCAAGCTCTGCCTCCCTGGTTTACGCCATTCTCCTGCCTCCGCCTCCCAAGTAGCTGGGGTTACAGGCGCCCGCCACCACGCCCGGCTAATTTTTTGTATTTTGAGTAGAGACGGGGTTTCCCTGCGTTAGCCAGGATGGTCTGGATCCCCTGACCTCGTGATCCGCCCGCCTGGGCCTCCCAAAGTGCTGAGATTACAGACGTGAGCCACCGCGCCCGGCCGAGTTTCCATTTTAATAGGGACCAAATGAGGAAAGTCCAGAGAAGATGGGAAGATGGTGCTTAGAAGAAAACAAGCAGAATATTATTCTGAAGCTGACACAGGGGTAGGGGTGGCAGTGAAGGAAAGTTGCTCTGAGCAGGTGACATCCAAGCAGAAATCCAATTGAATCCCTCCTTGTAGGAAAAGGTGACATGATAGGAAGGTCAAAAAGGTCAGGGCTGGGCACGGTGGCTCACACCTGTAATCCTAGCACTTTGGGAGGTGGAGGCAGGCAGATCACGAGGTCAGGAGTTTGAGACCAGCCTGGACAGCATGGTGAAACCCGATCTCTACTAAAAATACAACAATTAGCTGGGTATGGTGGCATGCATCTGTAGGCTCAGCTACTCGGGAGGCTGAGGCAGGAGAATCGCTTGAACCCGGGAGGCAGAGGTTGCAGTGAGCTGAGATCGTGCCACCGCATTCCAGCCTGGGTAACAGAGCGAGACTCTATCTCAAAAAAAAAAAAAAAAAAAAAAAAAAGTTCAGGCTGGGCGCGGTGGCTCACACCTGTAATCCCAGCACTTTGGGAGGCCGAGCTGAGCAGATCACTTGAGGTCAGGAGTTCAAGACCAGCTTGGCCAGGGTGAAACCCTGTCTGTATTAAAAATACAAAAATTAGCCAAGTGTGGTGGCACACACCTGTAATTCCAGTTACTTGGGAGGCTATAGGAGAATCTCTTGAACCCAGGAGATGGAAGTTGCAGTGAGCCAAGATCACACCATTGCACTCCTGCCTGGGCAACAGAGCGAGACTCTGTCTCAAAAAAAACCAAAACAAAACAAACAAAAAAAAAGAAGGCCAGTCTGACGTATTCACTCAAACATGCATTTGGTGGCAATGAAGCTTCAGATTTGAGCTAAGGCTCTGGGCTTGGGCTTCCAGAAGCTTCAGGTGTCGTGGGAGAAGAAAGACCCACAAACCATCTTAGAGTTTGACAGAAGTCACAAAGACTGAGAAAGGGCTCTGCTAGCTCTGCCAGGGACTATGGGATAATCAGGAAACAGTCACAGAAGAGGTGCCCTTGGAGTTAGGTCTTGAGAGCTGAGTTCACCACATTGAGAAGGGGGAAGGGCATTCCATGCAGATGCTTGAAGGTGAGAAGTAACCTTGTTCTGAAGATGAATAAGATTGGTCCTTCCTGAGGACCATGGGCTCACACCTATCATCTCACCACTTTGAAAGGCTGGGGTGGGAGGATTGCCTGAGGCCAGGAGTTCGAGAGCAGCCTGGGCAACATAGTTAGACTCCATATCTATTTCAAAAAAATGTTTAAAGATAAAAAAAGATTGATGGCTGCTACTCTGGGCACACTGCCCATGGCCACAGGAGCAGTTAAAAACAATGAAAAAGGATTGGTCCTTCTTGGGGTAGGAACAGAAGGTGAGGCATTCCTTCTCTTAGCCACCAGCTGCACGGCAGTGCTGACCCCACTGCCTGCCTGAGCCCTGACACTGGGGGCTTGAGAGGTCCTCTGTCAGTACACCGAGGCCCAGAGAGGATGAACAACTTGCTCAACGTCACATCACAGATCAGCGATAAAGTGTGGGCCTGACTCAGGGACTGAATGTGGGATAATCCTCCTTCCACCTCCCCAAGCCGCCTCCCCATGACCCCCTAGCCCACAAACTCTAGCATCTTAGGAAAAGTTGGCTGGGGCTGGGCGTGAGTGTGAGAAGCAGAGTTATTTCAGGCCTCAGGAGGGCTGGGTGCTGCCTTGGAGTCCAGCCAGGGGGTGGGGACGAGTGAAGGCGGGTGTTGTGGTGTAATGTGGGGGTGCGCTGTGCCCGCCTTCTTGTCAGGCAGTAATTACTCAGACTGCTGAGTAACTCAGGCAGGGAGACCCCCACAGACAGATGGAGGTGTCCTCGGCCCAAGCTGAATGGCAGCCCCCAATGTCCTGCACTATGGGGTCTTGAGGAAGCATTCTCACATCTGTTCTTCACGTCCAGTTCTCCTAGGCATCATCTGGCTTCCTA